ATACACAATATGATCAAAGAATTTATCCAGCTCAGTTTTCAACACTTTCCAAAGAGGGTCTCAGATACAGAATGAAAGCTAACTACAGCTAACTCCCCAGTGAAAAACGAGTATTTTTTATCAGGTTTACCGAAAAGACTTTCCCCAAACAAGAGTCTCTAAAAATAATGACTGGGTTTGGTCACATGACCAAAAAGAGGTTTGCTTGAGGACATGGAGAGTAGGTAAGCTGGAAAGCATTCAATTTTACAATTACTGTATCTCACTCTAGTCTTACAGCTTATCCTAAAACAGACAGATTTTATTTGAGCCCATTCATTTTTTGACCTCTGTTGTCTATTTTCACTAAGTAGTTAACTACTACTTCTTTCTGCCCTCCCCAGTTCCAGAATACATACAAAAGTTTTTTTCCTTCATCCTACCAAGTAAAAACACCAGGCCTTCATTTCTCAATCCGCTATTGAGATTCACCAAGTATTAACGTGAACTTGTTTTTAATAAACAGATCTCTCTTTGACCATTTACTTCAAACAGCAGTTATGCTGCATCTGATATCCCAAAGTCTCAAACACACTAACCTTCTTTATTTGTGCAAGGGTCTCTAGTCACCTTTAATCTTGGAGACCCTCATTTTCTGCCACAATATGACTCCACTCTTTGCTCCCTGTTTGAACACAAGGATGGACTTCTTGTACTTGCTGCATTAAGCAAATCCTTTGCTGAGCACTGGTTCATCTCCAAAATGTCTCGATTTTCTCACTAGCTGCTCTCCAACATTGTAAGCAATAGTAGAATTTCTGAACAGTTTACTCATCAGGTCCTGCAAGTCCTCTTACTACACAAATCTATTCTGGGATCAAAGTAAACTTGTATTCACATTTCCTATGTCAGAAGTACCAAGAGTACCTGTACTAAGACCTAAGATGCTGACTCCCAGCACTGACTACAAGGTTACTGGCCAAGAAACCCATGTGTCAGATGGGCACCAAGCTGGCAACACACAGTTAGTGCTCTGTCCTTTAACATAACCAGTTGCGTGCATTAACAAAATTCCTCCCTGTGTAGACACTCAGCAGAAAAAAAAGGAATCCAAAGCGATCTAATGCTAGAAAAAGAAATCCTCTGCACTTTCTTCTGCATCTATTCTTTGACACTTCATTGTCAAAGCAATTCAAATTCACTTTGAGGAGGAATATGCGCAAAGATCTGTTGTTAAGGTCACAGGCATCCAAGGTATCTTCCTGACGTTGAAAAACATTCAGCAACATTCTGTATCACTTCTCAGAAAACTCAGCAACATGCTGAAATACTAAAACCACGATATTTAAACCACAAGGATTAACATTTTCACTTTCTATATAACTTTCTAAGGAACTGCATGTTTTAAGTGCAGAATATACCAAACAGGCATCCAGGACTTTTACTCACCCGTGTGCTTCACTAAGACCTTTCTTCCCTCTTAAAAAAAAAAAAAAAAATTGTGTTCCAGAAAGAGGACTGTACTACATAAGCAAGTCATTTTCCCTTCCTGATGCTTATAAAAAGAAGGACCAGAAAATTAAACAGCTTTAACCTGTCAGACTTTTCCTCAACTCTTAGGAGGCGTGTTTGCCCCTTTTAAAAGGCAAGTTGAAGGACCCACACTGAGGAATCTGCCAAGAAAAGCAAGAGCTCTGTTCCTTCTAAACGGTCAGCGTGGATTAGAGAGAGTGAAGGGCTCTTGCACCTATATGATGCCCATCCATTCACAATGGCAAAAACTTCTTATCCTCTAGCAGTCAACTACTGTCTCTAGAAAAGACATTTAATAGGCAACTTTACTGAAGTTCCACAAAAAACTGCAGTTCTTTAGAGCTGGAAGATTAAGAAATTAACATTACTGTAACAGTGGAGCTAAATGTTTCTAAAGCAGAATATGAATCTATTACCAGAATATTAAGAATCTGTTTAATATAGATACCGTCTCCGCAAAGCTGAAGTATCTCCACACCATATTGTTTTCTTTCCATAGGTTATTTTAGCTACAAATCTCCTTTGCTACTAGCAACCAAAATTGAAGCTTCTTTTTAATAATAAATAATTATTATTTTAAAAAAAAAATTGGCTTGTTCAGAATTATTTTCCAAAAATCAGGATCCAATTGTTATGACAGGAATTTTCTTCGATTTACAAAGAGGAAAACAGTTCATATTTATGACTTTCATACTTCTGCTTTAGAACGATATGAGTCTCTTGGTCCTCAGAATTTAAAATTATTTTTTCGTGAAATAGTATCATGACAGAAGGTTGTTTAAAGATACTCAATTTTTCATAAACACAAAGTGCTTATGCTTTGCTTAAACAGATCAGTGAGGAAAGTCTGGCTGTCCAAGTTAAAGCTAATCAGCCAGACCATCAGAAGCTCTAGTAAATGTAAGGAATCTAAATACTGTGTGTGTGTGTGTGTGTGTGTGCGCGCGTGCGTGCGCATGCGCAAATATGTATGTATGTGCATATTTATTGCTATATTACCAGGGGAGCAGGCTATCTTATGCTAGAAATTCTAGTAATGGCTGTCACCACTCAGCATCCAAGAACACAAAACATTTTAAGATATTTAAATACTCAAAAATAGAAGCAGAATAAGCAAGCTGAACTAGTAAAATATATGCAGAACCCTTATGTATGGGTAAATACATTGCATAAAAATATTTATAGACAGTTCTACCCAAATTCAGGCCTCTACACTAGCATACACAAGCCTAACTGGCTCTCAAATCAAGATAGTTACTTTAAAAAAAAAAAAAATTATAAGTCTCACAGAGTGCAATAGCTGACAGCCATATCTACATAGATGATCTGAAAAAGAATATTTAATCTGGCTGGAGTTGGTAGTACCTTTTTCCCAGAATTAATAACCAATATGTCCATGTGAGATCTGAACATTAAAGGATTCAGGAAAAATAAGCAAAACTAGCTTTTTAAGTCATACTCATTAAGATCCTAAGGACACAGTGATTAACCTTGTATGTGAGAAATATTAAGAAACCTAGGAGACGTTAAATGCAAGACCAGTTCTATTGTAGGTTGAAGTTAGGATCAAGCCTCACACAGGAGAGGGGATCACATCAATGACGGCCAAGCTACCCCAGAAAAGCATGTCAGACAAGACTGTAGCTGAACTATTTGGTCATGCAACAGTTCTAGGATTCCATATTGTCATCTACTTTCTGCAAGCTATCCTGAAAGTCGGGGACTAAAAATAAGAGAAATCACTTGCTTTCCTCAAACTGCAAAACAATACAAAAGTATAGCACTAGGCCATTTTGTTTGTTGCCACGACGAATAACTAGAAGGCTCACAGAAGAGCAGAAAGGATATTTTCAGCCGAACCAGACATAGGGGTTATGAACCCCAATGAAGATATTTGGAACTTCTCCCAGCAACACTAGCTTCATTTTCCATACTTCCAAGTTAAAGCTTTTACTAATAAGCTAACAGAAACTCTCTCTGCTAAGTTAGCCTAATGATATTTTTAGTCTCCGAAACGGCTGTGGAAAAGACAAGTACTCCTCAGAGGACTTTCTCAAGTGTATTTTCAGTCTTTTGACCTCATACACTCACATCCACACAATTGAATTAATTTTGTCCAGTCTTTTTAAAGAAGGAGGTGGAGCCCAGACAAAGGTGCTCCAGCAGATTTTCTCATCTTTTCAGATTCCTTCTGTTCTACTTGCCACATCCCTACTCGAAGCACTAGGAGAAACAAAGTGTGGAAACCTCACATTATAAATGAATTGTCTAACTCTGGGGACAAGTGGCAAACCACTGTTTACATATCTAAATAAAGTATTTTTATAGCTATTACAAGAAGCAGTGGTCCCTCCTAGGTTTGTTAAATACTCTGAAGTCATTTTGAACGCTGCAAACCTAGACATAAGCACATAACTTAGGGACCAACTGTCCTCATAACACTAGCCATAAGACACCTCCACTGACAATTTATAAAGCTAGCAACAGGTTTTAGATGACATAAGTCATCAAGGTACATGTGTGAAAATGCTGCTGATTCTCTTAAACAACAACAACAAAAACACCCTTAAAAACGGATCAGACTATTCCAGTCCTCTGAGTCCCCAGATTATCCCAGAAATACTCGTCTACCCTGCAAAGTAAAGTTTGGTCCACAGGAGTTACATCAGGTTAGATGAACTTCTGGACTCCAACTTTAAGTTGCTGCAACTTTGTGCAGACAAAAGATTAATAAATAAATAAATTAAAAAAAAAAAACAAAAACACACGCACCACAGTTTCAGTCAGACAGAAGCCTGAGTGCCTTGTCCCTTTCCCACCCCTAGAATGAAGTTTGCTATAGATAGCTTTGCATCTAAAGGATATGATCAAAACCAGGATTTGCTTCAAAGCAGTGGGGTTTACATCTTTTTGTCATTGGAATTTTGAAACAATTTCATTGCAAATACCTGATTCACAAATTTTAGAAGTGTTTACATTAATCAAGTTTTCACTAGAAAACTAATAAGGGTAGTGGCAGTATGTTTACCTAGTCTGGTTCTGAAATTTAAATGTTACATACATACTTTTCAACAACCGTTTCTCAGAACTATGGGCAAGTATTTTTGTGAAAATCATAACAGAGAATCTAGTGTTTCACTGTTGAATTTCTGGAAATAACGAAGACTCATATATTGACCATAGTATCAGAGAGAATGAAAGTAGGCTTACTAAAGTGGTGTTCTTATCTCCCCTTGAATTCTCCCTCCGGTAACATCTAATCTGGACAATGAGATACCACTTAATTCAAATTATCCTTTCTAACTTTGCATGTAAATAAACACTGAACCAAGCAACCTTCAACATCAGTAAGAATTATGAGCTTGTTCTTACGTTCAGCTCCCCATCATCACAGTAAGTTTCCAGACTTGTAAGTTTTGACCCTGTATTCAGAGATTGCCAGATCTGTGTGCAAGTTAGTTTCATAAAATGCTATGCAAAGAGTGTACCTGCTGCCTCCAGCAAGGCTTCTAGTCTTGCTTGTGTTTCTGGATCCACAGTTCTCAAGTCCGCACCTTCTGCAGCACTCGATAAGAATAACTCCGATGTGGTTTTAAGTACTGGGTTATCAAGATCTTCTTGGTCCAAAATAAATGATTCGACCTGTTTGCGAAGTTAGAAAAATAATTTTACCATTTCTGACATTTCATAGTATATCTAAAATACTACAAAACCCATCACAGAGTTTACCATCATAATGATGTTTTTACTATACAGATTACAAGATAGAACCTTGAAAGTCATGTGATCAATTCACTGAAAGGGCATGAATAAACTCTACATGAAAAATAGCTTACGCTAGAAAATGACAATTAATAACAGTTTAAACTATAGCGAGGGCGACTTTGACTACATATTGGAAAAAAGCTGTAGACATTTGGACAGTTAATCACCAGAACTCATATGCTACAACCTCTCGTGACACTTTGTCACAAGATGTCCATCTACCTTATTATTAAAAAAAAAAAAAAAAAAACAGTAAAAACTGATATAGTGGAAAGCTGCAGATGGAACAAATGATTTCCTGAGATCCCTTTCAGTTCCATTACTTCATTTTAAAACTAATTTCGACTAATATGGCACAAGGATTTTATTTGAGTAGAAACAAGATGGTTGACTAAAACAAAATCAAAAACAAAATATCCAGTTCCACTCTGGAATTTAGGATTTTCCTAGTCATCAACATTTTCTAGACAAAAGCAGATGTGTACAACAGGTAAGCAAGCAGTTATTCCAACTCAGCAGCACTAATGCTGTCCCATCAGTGGTCCACATGATCTCAAAATACAAGTTCATGGAATTACACAACATTGTAGTTTTATGACAGCATGCCAGAGTAAACAAGGAGGATACCTGACTCATACTCTAATGAGAGCAGGATTACATTTAAGAATCTGTCTCAAGTTCAGACATACCACCCTCTATTTTCAGTAATATTTTAAATAAAAACGCAGACACTATTTCATAGTTAGACATTATCTGCTCAACACTTTCAACACCGTATTGGTGCCTTCAATATCCTCTAGAAATGAAGTATGCTAGGTACACAACTATTGTCATCTCTTCCCATTTTTTGTCCCAGTCTCATCTTTATTTCCCTCTAATTCTCAATTCTGTCCCACCGTCTTCCTCACATGTCAGCAGTAAACTACCACTACATTCAGTCCTACGACACAACATCCACATGACCTTAAGGAAAGCATAGTTTATTCTTCAAAAATCAAACCAGGCCATCTGCAAACTCAGTAAGTGCCCTATTGTATGAAGAATGTTAACATGAGTCTGGGGAACTACACAGAGCACTGCTATGCAGGATCATCTTGTGTTAATTTCTTCCCCTTTTTGATATGTAAAGTGTTCTGTAACATTATCCCTTGGTGTTCGCCCAAACAATTGATGTCCAATGAAATATAATGTTAGCATATGAATAAAATGGGCATTGGGGAGAAAGAGTAGTGTAAGAATACAGAACATTTCTTCCACATATCACTGGATATGCATAATATTGGCCAACTTACAGGTATTTTAACCTGTGTGTTAACACACAAATATTAAAGCCAAGGCAGCAGGCTACCAAGAAATCTTGCTAAAGATTTCTGTGTTAATGAGACAACACACAACAGTCCTAAAATAAGAGAACTGTCACAATGAGGAAGAGTTGAGAGTTAAAAAAGCAGAAGCTTAGTGACCTGAATGAGTGATAAACATTATTTCCACAAAGAGTAGCAGCCATTTATAACGGACAGCAAAATATATTCCTATACTAAGATTCCTCTCTGCAGAATTCAAATTTCAGGTTAAGTTCATCTAGCAAGTTTAAAAGCTCCGTGCTGGCATAAGGTCTGATGCATAAATGACTTCTGGAAAAATTCACACTTATCCACAGGAGTACTTCAGGGTATTTCATTATTCTCCCCCACACGATGCAAAGCACTTTGCCTTGAACTTACACCAATGCGCACTTCAGCTAGAAATACTATTCATTATTGCAATAATGTGTGTGACCCGGTGACTTGTAAGAAGAATCCCACTATGTATGTAAGTGGCTATCCCTTATATGTAGTTCAGAATTATATACTAGAAGTTGAATTCCATGCTAATAGACTTTTTTCTTTTTCAATTACACTGCTAAATTTAACAACAGTCCTTCCCTTTGAAGATGCACCAAAAGGGATAAAACTGCTACCTATTACTGAAGTAATTGCATATACAAACAACAAATACTACACAAACCTTCAAAGTGACTTCTGGCAAGCTTACCTTTCAGCTTCATGGGTAGCCTAACAACAGCCTAGACAAAAGCAGGCAGATCAATCCTGCAACAACCCTCCAGAGACTGTCCCACTGAAAATTTTAAAACTTCATTTTTCACACTGCCCTAATGCACTGAAGCAAGGACATGGACTATTTTCTCCTTGACTGCTGCTAGTGCAAGCTCAGTTGTGTACTTACAGGACATTACCTGCAACAACACACCTCCTGCTCCTCAATCAGTGTTAGCCCTCCACTCATTCTATCAACTAGCAAGAATACTAACTGGATTAGTATTGGTGCAGTTTGTGTTACCAAACCCTACTGCCTTTCAGCTTCTCTTCAGGTTTGCAACTGTACTTCCAGAAACCTTACCCATTTAAAGTCTTAGACGAAAATTTTGCTTTGTATACAGTATTGTTGTCTGTTAGTTTTATTTCACAGTACTGCATTTGCCACAAATTTATATGCAAGAAAGGCAGCTGCTTCCATTATTTTTGCACGTTTAGCATCAATTTTTAGTTTTTATTTTGATTTTTAGTAATAGCTTAATAACATACCTGTAATACAAATAAATCTTAAGCGTGAAAATACTGAAAATCCATATGCAAAAATGATAAAACACCTCTAGTATTGCCAGTCTTTCAAAACAAGTTTTATACGCATTTTCAAGTAAGAACAGCTGACATTTCTGTAGAGACATGCAGTTTCTCACACAGTTGGATACTCAACTCTGACAGTAGAGTAAGGAATTACCTAATCAATCAGATGTCTGTTGTGATTGAAAATAACCTGCTGTGACCCCTTATTAATTTTTTAAAAAAAAATTAAACTACCCCAAACATATCAAAGGTAAGTTTAAGTTTTCAAATAAAAAGTAAACTTCATAAAAAAAACAGATTTAGCTTTAGCACTCCTGGAAGACTTATTGTAATGCTCATGTTGCAAATTTTAGGCACTCTGCTCTATCATAATCAGATCTGTACCAAAGTGATAGAGTAACTAGTCACTGTGCTATTTTTGGACTATTTTGCAAGCTGCTTTGGGCAGTTAACAAGCATCTTACTTGGCAAGGCTCATTAGGAATATATAGATTCACGACATTATTCTAACTGCCAAAGTAATTAGAACTAGAAGTAATTCCTAGCCAAAAACTCAAAAACATGTTTCCAGTTGCTAGCTATATGGGACCCACGAACAGGGCAGTAAACATCAGTGCACTTCACTACATTGTTGTGTTTCACTTTCATCCACGGGAATGACAGACCTTTGCTGAAGTACTGCCAAGGACTGCAGTCACCTCACAGCTCTACAGATCCAGTTACATGCCGGTTCTTCCCTCCCTCTACAGCCACTGCATTCACAGCTATTTGGACTCAACTACATCAGTATTTATATGCCAATACCATGACTGAGTTCACCTCAGGTCAGGGGTACATAAAGGCAGCTTTGCATGTACTAAAATCACAACTAACACTAGCAATTCTTATAAGACAGGCAATGACAGACAGGTAAGTTTAAAAACACGTTTTCTAATATTAGGTCTATACCGATCTTTCCTACGTTGTGTTGAAGCGACTTTTTTTTTTTTTTTCTTTTCTTTAAAGATATACTTCTATGCCAACAAGAACTAAGCTCTAGGTTACTAACAAAAAAGTACTTTTCCCAGAATAGCTCAGACCTGTTCATAGATAGCCTATTACTGATATAGGCTACATGCATGATGGAAAAGCTTCCTAGTCTAGCTGTACCAGCACCATTCTTTCCTCCTTTTACTGCAGAGAAGGACAGCAGAGGCAGCTCATTGTACCATTCTGCTTTTATTCATGCTGAACTAGTATTTCTGGGAAGACTATCTTTACAAAAAGTGTTGACTGGAAAGAGAAAGCTACTAGCAAATTACTTCCTTAAACTTGAATTTTCAGATACACCCAAGCTATTAACAGTTTTTTGAGGTAGCAAGTCTCCTCGTACTATGCTTGTAAAGCACCCACAAATAATGAGGATCTGAGTCCTTGACTGGGACTCCTAAGCAGCACTGCAATACAAATAAACTACTACCTGTTTCTCTCTTCTGTATTAGGTAACCCTCCAAATTATTTGTATGACAACCCCATTTGGACATATATCTAAATAAATCACAATATATATACAGGGACCTTGGCTTCCTTAAGGCAAATTAAGCCTGTATATATATGAACTTCCAACCTGATATATGAGGTTGAAATAGATCACCAATAAGATACATACTTGCTCTGTTGGGCTTGAGCTGCAGTTTCTGAAGACAATTCCCTCAATAAAAATAAGTTTTAGCCTGAGAAGAGATATGTCTCTAAGATCTGTTAATCACTAAAAGATCATCTTCCAGCTCTGGTCCTACAGATCTTATGATTTCAAGGTGTTCTCACAAGATATGGTGCATGTAAGCTGGCCCAAGGCTACAGTGGCCTTGGAGACATGAACCTGTAGCAAAAAAGAGGCATCTGAAGCCTCACTTCCCATCATTGCTCAGCTTATGGCAAGCCAGACAGCTATCAGACCCTTTCATGAGCTGATATAACACACTAAAAGGGAAGAAAACTCATGAAAAAAAAGACAACAGATAACTTTCTGCCACTTTATTGAATTTCTAAGACTTACAGTTCCTGCTTATCACACCCTTCTGTAACAGCATCACTCTCTCCTGGGAACAGCAAGCCATTTGATCAGATTGGCTCCCTGTGAAGCCAAAACCTGACTAACATGCCCCCACCAAATTTGAGCAGAACAGTTAATACTGGCAGGCCTTCTTAGTTTAGTAAGCTACAAAAATCTAGTTTTATGTGCATTTAAATAGACCGTGGGGGGGAAGA